TGTAGGTAATGGGATGAAGTAAGATAACACAAGGGAGAAAGCATGTTGAACATATGTAGTGGCAAAAGCTGGAAACAAGGTAGAGTTTCTTGAGAGAGTTTCAGAAAAGCCAAGGGAGAGAGCAAGTGAGTTCTCTAAGTGTATCAAGGTGTTGAGCAAGGGTGTGAGAGAAACAGATTGTGAGGGTAGTGTTCTAAGGGGGTTTCCTTTGTAAACCAAAGTTGTAACCTATCTTCACTAGTGAAATTTCTCAAGGTGATCACCAAAGAGGATGTAGGCAATTTGCTGAACCTCTATAAACACTTGTGTCATTTGTGCTTGGTTAATTTCTGTGTGTGTGTGTGTAAGACTCATCCATCATTGAGTTCTTTATCTAAAGTCCATCAACAACAAGATCTTAAAAGGGCAGTGAGTTAGTCATTAATTCACAACACATGCAAGTGGTTAATTTTTTTTATTTTTTTATAGTGTGCTGAAGTTGTCATCCACACCAGTTAATAGTGTTCAAATGGTCATATAATTGGGATTAAATAAAGAGTTATTTACACTAACGGGGTTATTAAGAAAACTCATTTTGCTAGAAAAAAAAAAAAGTGAATTATTACATTTAAGTACCAAGTATACCATTGTTATATGAACTACATGTTTTTTTTTGGTCAAGTGAACTAAGTGTTAGTGTAGTGGTTTTCATCTTTCAATATTATAAGAAGTTTCATGTTCAAATCTCCTCCTTCGATCAACAAATGTATACCCTTAGGTGACGTTTGGTGGCTCGGTTTGGAGTGGATTAGTCAAGAGTAATATAGGAATTACATATTTATCATAATTTAACCAATTGCTCTCAAATTTAAACACACCTTACTTTCTTATTAATTTGGATTGCACTTGAACTTACATATAGTGTATCTGACCCATAGTGTATGTGAAACTGCTGCGAACCCGAAGAGAGAGAGAGGCCCTGCATTAAGGAAGATGGGGTTCTGAAACCCAAATTCTACACTGAAGACTTACATTTTCCTTCCACCAAGCCAAGCAATCATATCAGCTTCTGGGTCTGTTTCTCTTCTGTCCACCGCACACACTGACTGGACCTCAGCTTCAAGGTATGTATCATCTTAAACTTGCAAACTCGACTAGAATTGAAGTGCCTACAAATTTGTACACAATGCCCAAATTTGCAGTTTCTAGTTTCTACCGTAAAGCCTATAGTTAATGCCATTCATCAAAAATGAAGAAAAGAAAAAGATAATAAAAGTTAACCTCATTAATATAGTAGAGCTTCACTCAAAGCTAGCTAAAGCTCTATATGGAAAAATTGATAAACAACAAACAATCCTTTTT